CTTACATACTATACTACTACCCCGCCAAACAAGATGTGCCTACCAGAGCAATAACGGCATGACTATTATGGGCTTACCAACCATTTTTAGGCTGGATTCGAGGCCTGCTCCAAAGGAGGGAATTCAAGTCTAGCCCTGTAAACCTGGTCAAAAGCCCATGGCTGAAGAGGTTCTGGGTCCTAGGGGAGTACTGATTATTGTTGTCAAATTGCTTTCTAAATGTTTCCAAATGTTTCTATCCAGAGATCAGTGCTGCTCTAACCCTGGCCAGAGTTTGGCTCTGCAATGGGCAGCACCCTCATAACTGATTAAGGTGTTGAGAGTAGGTGACACTGAGTACTCAGCCCTAAACAAGCCATTTATTATGGAGTCCCCCGAGGCTCAGGGGACATCACGGAAAGAGCGGGCAGTAAGGAAGAAGGCGGAGGGTGGGAGGGATGCTGTGAAAGGCTCTCCTCCAGACACGGCACGGCGACTGTACTAATGAGCTCGCTGCACTAGGGTTACCTGTTAGATCAATCAAGCCAGTCAATACTCCCCGTGGATAAGAGAGCGGCTCAGGAGGTGGCACCCACAGCTGAAGAGCTATTCACAAGCCATGGCTGTTGGGGGTGTGGCTGCTTCTAGGCTGCCCATGGATACACAGCCATACACGTATAGGAAGCACTAACTTTAACAAGGACTTGAAGGAGGGAAGTACTAAGGGGTTCCGGAGGAGTGGAAGGAGGGAGCTGGGGGTGGCATCATCGAGACACAATATGCATACATGAAATTGTCAAGTTTTGAGGACATTTTTTGAAAAAGAGTGGCCGGTGCAGGTCAGTGACAGTGTTTGCCTAGTGTCTCTCCTGAGTCCGCATCTCTGAGACAAAGGAGGGAAAGGTAGTGAGGCTGTATCTACCGAGCCTCCCTGGCAACCACTACCAGCTGGGAAGTCCTCGCATGCTACACTGGAAACGAAAGTTGAACTCAACCCGAGTGAATACATATTAGAAAGCCAAGGGGAAGAATGCGGATCCAAATCACGCTGTAGCTCTAAAGCCATGTACTTTCATGAAACAGTATTTAAATACGCAAAAGGTACAGAATTCGCAGAGATGGCACAAAATCCTCATATTATTATACATGCAGTTTACTTTGGAGGATTGTATCCTTGTTTCCAGACTGAAGACCACTGGGGCCTCCAAACAGACAACAGAGACCATCATTTAAAACAATCACTTTATTAAAAATAGCGAATCTCACAAATACTTATTAAACATTTGTCACTGGCCATTGGCAAACACACCTGCGTGTGTACTGATTGTCTGACGTAAACGGAAGCTGGGCTGCCACAGGAGGCCCGTGCACCACCACCGTGTGACCAGAACTCGGCCGGTGTGGTGGTCGCAGGGCACATCCTTCAGCCCCACCCAATGTTTAGCACAGAGCATTTCAAGTAGAACCTTAAGGCAACAGAAGAAAACTCAGCAGCACAACTCCGCATCCCACTGCATCCCACTTCCGGACCGACCTGCAGCCAGGCCACGCCCTCCGCAGCAGGGAATTACAGCAAGCACATGGACTAGAAGCGCGGGCGGGCGGGCTTGTGAACACAATCACTGCACTTGCGCTCTCAGCACTTGAATGTTGTTGTGGAAGATGATTCTGAGACAGGACTCGGCTGGAGAAGCAATGGCTGCCGCTTCTCTGCGAATCCCCCAGAGCAGGCTGCACGCGCGGCCGCGTTAGCTGGTGGACGGATTGGGAACTTCCTGTGCGTCTGCCAAATGCAGCTTCTGTCTGGAGTCACCAGTTAAGAAGGTTTTCATTTTAAAGTGAGTACTTCTTTAAATGTCAGGGATTTCCTCCACTCAGTACCCGGGAAACAGAAGAAATGGGATAAGGGAAGGAGAGAGGGAGGGAGAGGGAATGATGTCCTGTTGCCAACAAGTTTGGACAGTGGCTCAATGTATAATGTATAATGTATAATGTATAATTCGAAGCTTAGAAACATTTATTTGGGGCTGGAGAGATGGCTCAGAGGTTAAGAGCACTGACTGCTCTTCCAGAGGTCCTGAGTTCAATTCCCAGCACCCACATGGTGGCTCACAGCCGTCTGTAATGAGATCTGGCGCCCTCTTCTGGCCTGCAGGCATATGTGCTGTGTGCTGTATACGTTTGGGGAAACAATTTCCTTATAAAGCCAAACCTGAAAAAAATTATCACAACTCTGTAACCTTTTATACAATCTTAATCATCCTTCAAAAAACTGGCTAAAACAGAATTTCTGCATGTGTCCTTGCCCCTTCTCATGACTACCTTTCATTTTCCGTAGTCTTAAACTGCTTAGCTGTTGCCCAGTGCAAACAGTGGTGACACCGAGGACAGCTCCGAGCCGGCGGTGCATATATGGAGAGGTCGTAACAGCATACAAAGGCATGGCCATCCAAAGTACTCCTGGCTAGTGGGGAGGTTTGAGATTTAACACAGAAAAACCATCCGACAGTGAGGGAAGGCAGACTGCGAGCCTCCAGGTACACACCGAGCCTTGGACGGGAGTGGTCAGTCGGCATGGATGTCACCTGTCTGACAGAGAGGAGGGGAAAAGGCCGGAGTGTGTCTGCATCAGAACTGCAGGCTGAACGAAGGACACCCTGGCAAGAATGAGCATGATGTGCCCCGAGACATCGAAGGACACAGCTCGGCGGGAACAAAAACTCTAAGGTGATGTATGTGCTGGGATCGCCTGGAAAAAGCCTATAAAAAAGGTGACCAAGGTAAAGAATAACAATAAAAAAGCATTGGCAAGAGCCAATGTATGAAACCAGCGGTAGGGGGAGCGAGGCAGGAGGATTGCTGCAAGTTTAAGGCCAGACTGCACCACACAGTGAGTGCTGGGCCAGCCTGGGCTGTAGAAGGGGATCCTGATTGAAAAGCAAAACAAAACAAGAAGGGAAAGAAGTGATGCTTTAAGAAGATTAATTCAATGGCAATGGCTGAAGTCTAGAGAAATATGTAATGTAACCTACAGATACGGTTTTTAAGGTTCTAACACTGAGTTAAAAGGAAAAACAGGTGACATTCATTTAAATACGTTATTTACTCAGATAGATTTCAATTTAAAATTTTAATGTATTGTGTATGTGGCCATGCCCCAGTGCGTGTGGAGCTCAAAGGTCAGATTTGTGGAGCCCGTTCTCTCCCTGAGTCTGACCTGGGTCATGGTGGTAAGACTCGGGTCCCCAGGCTACACAAGCACCATCCTGCTGGCTCTGTCCAGATAGAGTTCTTTTAAAAACTCAAATCAGGCATGGCAGAACACACACTCCTGCGACTCCAGCACTCAAAAGGCACAGGCAGGGGTATCTTAGGATGGAGGCCAGCCTGGGGGTATCTCATGGAGACCTTGTCTCAAAATAACCAAATGAAGTCAGAGCAGCAATGCTTTCAATATGCAATCACAATTGAAATGTTGGGGTCTTTTTTTTCATGTCTGAAATTCACTGTCCTTGTTACAGTCGAAGCCTATTTTAATTCTCACTAGCTAAATACATCATATGATCAACAGCTATACAGCTCGTGGCTCCCGTATTGAATACTGAAGCTCAAGTCAGAACATAAAGTCAAAACACTGAAGAACCAGGTTCTAAGTGCCTTCAGTGTCATACAAAGAACGAAGGAAGGACACCTAGTTAAGAATGGCAAGTGGAGTTCATGGTCAACGCAAAAGCACAGACTTAATGGTTGTTACTGCACAGCTGAGCAGTTAGTAATAGTATAAAACGATACAGCGGGATTCAGACTTGCTACTCTAACATCTACATATTCTACATAGTTTAGAAATTTCCTCATATATGCCATCACCAAGGCTGAGCAGTTAGTAACAGTATAAAACGATACAGTGAGATTCAGACTTGCTACCCTAACATCTGTATATCCTATAGTTTAGAAATTTCCTCATATATGCCATTACCCAAAGCAGCTAGTATTACAGAAGCCCCTTGGAGATGTTAAAGGGCGTGTGAAATGTCCCATTATTGACGTGTGAACCACATTTCAGAAGTCCTATCACATGCCATTATCATGTTCAAAGAAAGTTTCCTTCTCATGTGAAAGCAGGTTGAAGGCAGGTTGATTCCTGTTATTCTTGTGTATTAGCAATTGTGTTGACAAATACATTAAAAGAAAAAGTTTGAAAAGTTCCTTAAGTCATTGTTTTAGACTGAAATATCAAAATTGAAATAACCTACCTGTGACTTGGTGTTTTCCTTCAAGGTATTCCTACACTGCCCTAGCTTTGGCATGGAGATGCCATGTCAACATCTGTGAAAGGACCCTTGAAAGTTGTGGTTTAGTGGTCCTTGACTTTTAATTTTATACACCTTAAGTAATACTATTAAGCTTTTCTTTGGATATCTGCTAGGTAGTCTCAGAATCTAAGAGTCAAAATAATTCTTATAGTCCAATACACAATTTTCATGACTTGAAAAGTAGTAATTAAATTTCTTTTGAAAAAATAAGAAAACAATATAAAGCAAAGAACAAACCAGACACAGAATTTCAGCATACAAAACAATGAAACAATTTGATTTGGAGAGTAAAATGGAAGACACATAGCCCTAGTAGTAAAATAAGGTATGGTAGAAATTATTTCCCCGGAACTACAGATTATGAACTTTACTGTTGATAGTAGGCAAAGGATACATAGAAGAATTCAATTCTTCTAACTGCAACACAAAGAAACAAATTGAATATTAATTTTGACAAGATAAATATTAGTAGGTCACTGTAAACCATGTTTTAAAATAGCTTCATGTAGATTTTCTTTAACTGAATGAACAAATTATCTAAAATTTTTAAATTTTCTAGGTTGAGAAATTCCTTTTTATAAAATAACTATGAAGTAGCTGCAGCCTGAATGGAAGACCTTAGAGAGAGGGGAAGCAAATGCTGAAGACTAGAGCTGTGCAAGTGTTCTTAGAATCACCTATAATGGCACTAGTCTCTACTGTTTGTTATTCCTTTCTGAAAGAGTCTCTAACAAAATATCATTAAATTAGTGGTTTGTAGAAAAACCCACTTCTAATGGCTCTCGAGACCAGCCATCCACGATTAAGAAGCCAACAGAGCCCATGTCTGGCTAACAGAACAGCACCTTGTACTATGTCCTCACAAAACGGAAGCAGTGGGGTGTCTCTTTCCAGCCTCTTTTCCCAGGATACTAAACTCACTCTTGACCTAATTACCTTCCAAAGACCTGTCTCTTGGTGCACCACCTTCAGGGGGAGAACTTGAAAGTATGAGTTCTAGAAGGATACAGACATTCAGACCACACTATCTTTAACTTTAGATGGAGAAATATAAAGTACAGAAATGCTGTCTGAGTCTTCTGAGTCTGTAGCTTAGTGGTAGAGTGCTTGTCTTGCTGCATTCATGAGGCCCTCAGCTTAATCTCCAGTAACTCAAAACAGTTTCAAAAAGAAAAGAAGGTAAGTAGGTAGGTTAACTAGACTTGGTAACTAGGTTCACCATCACTGATGTGAGCCTTGCACTATGCCTCCTGGCTTCAAATTCAGTGTCTTTTTTGCCCAGATACAGCATTTTCCTAAATGCACCAAAAGTGCAGAAATTAAGCTTTTATTTAATAGAAATAAAGCACAAAGCATGAACTTGTGACACTGAATGTTATATGGCAGACTTGACGTTTAAAAGAACAGGCTTGAAGGGATTTTTGTTTGTTTCTGTGAGAGGTCTCATGTACATGAGGCTAACCTTGAACTCCTGTTCCTCCTGCATCCAGTTCCCAAGTGCTTGGATTACAAGCATGCACTGCTAATCTTCTAGGCTTAAAGCTTGAAGAGCCTGGGTAGACACCAGGAGGAGGTGGCGCAGGCCTTTAATCCCAGCACTCAGGAGGCAGAGGAGGTTGGCTGAGTTTGAGGCCAGCCTGGTCTACAGAATGAGTTCCAAGAAAGCCTGAACTATATCGGGAAACCCTGTCTCAACAGCTGTCTCATACTTATTTAAATAAAAAAAAAAAAAGAGTGAAGAAAAGCAGCAGAAAAACTCTTGTCACTGGTGAACAATGACAAGCTATGAATATGAAGCTAAAATACGCTGAAGTCAGTTTTTATTTATTTCCCTTTGTTCTACAAAGGTTTTGTGTGTGCACATGTGCAAGTGTGTGCATCTGCACATGTGCAAGCCAGAGGTCAACGTTTCGTGTCTTCCTCAATTGTTCTCCACCTTAGTTTTCTGAGACAGGATCTCTCACCAAACCTGGAGCTCACAAATCCAGCAAGAATGGGTGGCCAGTAAGCCCAGAGATCTTCACATCCCCACCTCTCCAGGTACTGAGGATCTGAACTCAGGCCCTCACGCTGGAGCAGCAAGAACTTGACTGACTGAGCCCTCTCCCTAGCTCCCTAAAGAAGGCTGGAAAGATTTATTTATTTTTATTTTATGGGTATGAGTGTTTTGCCCGCATGTAAGCATGTGCACCACAGAGGTGTGCCCTCAGAGGCCAGAAGAGGGCTTCAGATCTCCGGAACTGGAGCTACAGACGGTCGAGGGCCGCCATGTGGGTGCTGGCAACAGATTCTGGGTCCTCTGCAAGAGCAGCAAGTACTTTTAGTCGCTGAGTCAGCTTCTCAGCCCCCTAAAAAAGGTTTAAGAGGCAAATTTACAAGATGTTATGGGCTGAGTAGTGCCCCACTCCATCCCCAATATTCATACATCCTAGCTGTCAGTCAGAATATGTCAGAATATGTGGGTATTTGGAGACAGAGCCTTAAAGAGGTAATCCAGTTAAATGAGGTCAGTGGAGCGGGCCCTAGTTCAACAGGACCTTAACAAGATGTGCACAGGAGAAGAATTCCATGAGCATTAAGATGGCCACCCACCATGGAGAACTGAAGCCTTCCACAACACTTGGATCTCCAACTCCAGCTCCCAGAACTGTGAGAAAATAAATTTCTAGTGTTCAAACTCCAGTCTGCGGTGCTCTGTTATAGTAGCTCTAGACTGACAGATGGAAATGTTCTCAATTGCTGTTAAGACCAACACTGGTCTATATTTAAAATGAAGTAACCATCCAGGCAGGCAAAGGTCTTCTGACTGGTGTCTTCTATGGACTTAGGATCTGCCTATGGATAAGGCCTCTACAGAATACAGGCACGTATGTAAAAATGTACAGAAGCAAGCAGGGCCTTCAGAAGTTTGCCGGGATTATGAGAATACATGCCTCCACAAATCTAAGTGTAAGCATTTCTTAGACTGTATTTCTCTAAGGGGAGTCAAGTGTAACAGAGGTGAAATTTGAGGACACAGAACTAAGCGAACCCCCGTGAGGGCACACAGTGTATGAAGTGCCACAGAGGCCAGTTCATAGAGAGAAAAAGTACATGAGGGATTGCTAGGGCGTGGGGAGGAGAGACTAATGAACAGGCTTCTTTAGGAGGTAAAGAGAATGTTCTAGAATTAGACGGTGTGGATGACTGCAAACACTGAATATATATGTAGATGATAAATGATATATATGAACCACATATATACAGTACATGTATATGATGACTGACATGTGGGTGGTGTTGCTGGAAGATGTTTTTAGACAACAGAGCACACTCCACTCACGTCAGACAGAAGTCTGTCCAGGTTGGCATCGCTGGCCGCTTTCCGCTTATCTTCGGGCAGCTCCTCTAACTCCCCATACAGCTCCAAGTTCAGGCGAGCTAATTTCTCCTGCATCCCCCGGACATGCTCCATCTGTTCTATGGAACATTCATTTCCTGGGGAACATTCCAGAACATTAACAAAGATTAGTGTTAAAGCCTATAACCCTTGAGGAACAGCTTTTCAAGTCCAGGTGCGCAAAAGAAATCCATTTTCTTTGTTTGTAAATTGGCTTGCTAATAATTGTTTTCTTTGTATGATCATGAATCCTCTATTTTTTTTGAGACAGTGTAGCCAAGCTGGTTCACAATCTTCCTGTCTTGGCCTCTTCACAAATACAATTATTGGCCAGGGAAACAATGACCAACCTTAGAAATATTCCTGGGCCCTAAAATAAAATCAGGCATAAAATATTAAAGCAAAGTCACTCCTTAAGTAGGGAAGACGTGTTTTTCCTTCCGCTGTAACACTGTATACAGAAGCAGTAACGCCATAATTATGTCCACTTTGACACCTGCCAGTTGAACTGGAAAGCCAACATTTTGTAGTACTCTGAGTAAAATGAGGACTTGTCTAAGAATTTCAACCACAAATTATTTTTCCAGCCAATTATATATTCTTCCTTTAGGAAACAGAAATGCAAATATTTATGAAGTGTGATGAGTATACATTACACAGTGTAATGATATAATCATTTCAATCATATGCATGGTAATGCAAGACAACGTCACTAAGGCATGGGTCTCATTATTTCTTAAGTCCAGCATAGTGATTTTATCTGCCCAGAACAACTAACATATATACACATGACATAGTCTACATCTTCATCTGGTTTAAGTGCAGCCTCTGCAACCTCTTGGTACTCCAATTAAAACAAACAAACAAACAAACAAACACCCACCGTTTTCCCTACATATATTGCAGAAGTACACTATAATTCAGCTGGCGCTGAAATGAGCCAGGCGTGGCATCCTAAGTGTGTGTATCAGCATTCATCCTGAAGAGATTTGTGTTCATGTGGGGAGAGGAAGAGGGAGAGGGGAGGAGGGACAGGGGAGGGGGAGAGAGGGAGCGAGAGAATGAGTGAGAATACGAATGAATGAATGAATGAATGAATGAATGAATGAATGAATGAATGAATGAATAAAGAGATGCAGACCTGACAGAGGAAAATGGAGAGGAAGGCAGACCTAGATGGCCTGCCAGGAGACAACAGAAGCTTCCTAAGATAAAAAGGACGCGTTTTGAAGGGTGAAAGATCAATGGCAGCTAAGAAAGGCTTAGTGATTCCCTGGAGGGAGCCATGAGGAAAGACCCATTCCTTGCATATCCAGATAAAGGCCCACAGTTTACAGATAAAGTGGTGGTGGTGGGCTCTTATGTGTTAAGTTGTTAAAACAAAAAAAAAACCATTAATGACCTGACCTTAAGGGAGGAAGCTAAGTAAAAGAAGTACAGAGATTGCCACTGAGAAGAGTGAGCAGGGAAGAGAGGAAGGTGTGAAAACATTCTGGGATGCCGTGCTGTTGGTGTGGAGCATGAGGTGGCGGAACACGTCTGTGAAGGAAATAATGCTCCTTCTTTTGGAGTCAGGGGCTCCTATGTAATCCAGCCTGGCTGTGAATTCAGGATTCTCCTGCCTCAGTCTCCCCAGTACTGGGATTACAGGCCTGAGCCTGGCTTCTTTGTCAAATATAAGTATTACTAAGGAATAAAGACCCAGGAACCACAGAAGAAAAAGATGTGAGTACACAAAAATCAAGAACTTTACAGGATTAAATAGACTATCACAACATCTAAAGTCAAATATATTTGGAAAAATAAGTCAGAAAAAATGGATTGTTTACAGGCAAAACATACAGAGGGCTCTTGACAATGACAAAGAAAGAAATTTCCAGACTGAAAACTATGTAAAGGCCCTGATGAGAGCAATCCAACTACTTAACAAGTAGACACAGAAATTCAAATCTGATGGCCATTTAAAAACATTTCACTTGACTGGAAAAAACTGAAAGATAATGTCTACTGCTGTGGGAGGCCCAAAGAAAAAAGATTCTTCCATAAATGGTCAACAAAACAAGAAACTAAAGCATTCAGGATACTCCTATTACAAATAAAACTGGAGCTGGTGTGGTAACCCACTTCTCTATTTCAGCACTTGGAATGTGGAGACAGGAAGATCAAGGATTGAAGAGGAGCCTCTGCTACACGATGCATTCAAGGCTAGCTTACAATACATGAGACCCTGCCTCAAAAAACCAGTCAACAGGATGAGAATGTAACTCAGTTGGCAGGATGCTTGTGTAGCAGTCACAAAGACCAGAGTTCAACTTCCAGCCTGCATAAACAGGGTGTCATGGCATGTGCCTATAATCCTAGCGGTGGGAGACAGGTGGCAACGGGAAAATCAGAAGTTCAAGGTCATCCTCAGCTACACACCGAGTTCAAAGCCAGCCTGAGCAATATAAAGCCCTGCTTCAAAAGGGGAAAATTCCCAGTGCATGGAAAGCTGAGGCCGAAGATCATGAACTCCAGGATAGCCAGGCTACACACATAGCAAGACACTTTCCAAAAATAAAAGAAAATTGAATACACTAAGCCTAAGTTGGTTTAGCGGATAAAGACTTCCCCTATTATTTAAGTAGATAAATTATATGATACGGTTTTGTTTTTCAGAAATGGATTAGGTTGCCTTCAAAAGAAGGAAGGGGCATAAAAGACCATATATAGGGACAGAGAACCTAATTTAAATTAGACTTCAGGATGGTTATTCCATACCAGCAATCCTCCTTTAACATTTCGGCTACCCTTCCCTTGTGTGGTGGTGTTATATAGTATGCCGGAATGCACCTGTGCAGACTGGCACGCAGAGGCCAGGAGGGTGTCAGGTGTCCTGTCCCACTACTACACCTTATCCCTTTAAGACAGGGTCTTTCAGTGAACCTAGACCAAGGCCAACAGCCAGCAAGCCCCAGAAATCTGCTTCCCGTGTCTCTGGAGTTACAGGCCTGCTTTGTGCCCATGCCCAGTTTTTTGTTTTGTTTTGTTTTTCCGAGACAGGGTTTCTCTGTGTAGCTTTGGTGCCTTTCCTGGATCTTGCTCTATAGACCAGGCTGGCCTTGAACTCACAGAGATCCGCCTGGCTCTGCCTCCCGAGTGCTGGGATTAAAGGCGTGCGCCACCACCGCCCAGCCATGCCCAGCTTTTTAACACAGGTGCTGGGGTACAAACTCAGGTCCTCATGGCTGGGCGGCTAACTGTCTTACCCACTAAGCCATCTCTCTGGCCCCAAAAACATCCTTTAAAACTCCCCCAATAATTTTAGAAAGCAAATTATATTCCATGACAATGAAATCTAAAATCCTTAAATTTTATGTCTATATATTTCGTGGCCCCTTCTCCCCCTCTCTCCCGATACCTGAGTGTGTGTTTTGTTGATTTGTTTTTGAGGCAGGTTTCGTGTAGCCCACGTTGCCTCCAAAGCCACTGTGTAGCTGAGGATGTCTCTGATCTGTCTGGTTCTCCTGCCTCTATTTCCCGAGAAGTGGGATTAGAGCTGTGTGCTCCCATGCTGGGCTTTATGTAGTGCTGGGTGTCAAACAGAGGACTTTGTAAGCACTAGGCAATCATTAACTACCAACAAGGCCACATACATACCCAGCCCTCTCTGGGCATGCTTGTCCTGAGACAGGCTCAGGTGGTCCAGAATGGCCTCAAACTCCCTATGTGGTTGAGGATGACCTTGGACCTCTCTCCCTCCGGCCTCTCCCTTCTAGATACTGGGATTGCAGGCCCGAGTCACCACATCCAGCATCCCTTTGCCTTTTAACAAGAGAAGAGGATTCTTTGAGAGAATCCTCGAACAACAAGGTGGAGGTGGGTGGGTGGTGCTGAGGAATGACGCCCAAGGTTGTCTGTCCTCTGGCTTTCACACACACACACAAGAACCAACCAGACAACAGGGAGAAAGAAACATTCCAGAACACAGGCTGCAAACACCCTAAGACGAGGCATGAAGAGCGAGCACACGGGCGGCTTACCGAACGCCTGCAGCTTTCCAGAGTGGAAATCGTTCAGCAGACTGAGGAGGCCGCGCTCCATCTCCTGGACATCGGAGACGTCCGTGAGGAAGGAGTGCTGGATGGGGGTGGACTGAGCCCCCTTCCCTTCTCCTGCTTGAGGTCTGTTCTTCTCTTTCATCACTCTGCGGAGACAACACAATTGACTCCAGTTAGATCTCTCAGGGTGTTCTAGATTAAACTCCTGCGTAACTTCTTAAATAGATGAACATTTTTCTTGAAAACAAGAAATCAGAAGGAAGTCAATACTAAACTGAAACCTCAAGCCAATGACAAACAAAAACAGGTGGTGAAAAGTCTCAAATACATAAAGTGTAACCACTGAGAAATGTCAAAAGTTTAGTTAGTACGTTTATGCAATATGCTACCTTGTTAGACTGAAAAGAAAATTGGTAAATCTTTTCAGTATTCTATTTTGTATTATTTCGTTTCTCAGTAAAACACACCACACACTCCCCTTTCTAAATGTTATCCTTAAACGATTTAGAGCTGGGTGAGTCTTTCGGGGTTTCTGCTCTGAAGACAGCATGCCAGGCATGCTTGGGCTTAGGAGAAAGACATTTAAAATCCAGAATCAAGAGCCTGGTAGCATTCTGAATCCTGCCACCCTCCGCGGAGCCCCTCATGCAGTTTGGAAGCCCAACTGAGTAACCGTACTCTAACTTCCCTATGCTCTCCTTAGCCACTGCCACCATCCTGTGTCTTGGCCTAACGGCTCCCCACATCTTCCCAGATGGCCCACCTGGTCCTGTGTATGGTCCCTGCTCTCCTTTTTCTCCCGACGAGGCAGACAAATCCATTTCTAAAAACTGCATAATTTTAAAAAAACTGCATAATTTAAGCCTTCAAGAGCTAAGGCCTGCCTTAATCCAATACCCTTCAGAAACCCTGCTTTTCTTTGGTGTAGTTATTCAAACGTTTAATCCAGATGCAGAGGAAGGAGGCAGAGGCCAGTGGATGACCAGCTTGATTTACACAATGAGTCCAAGGACAGTGAGGGACACTCCCCCCACCCCTGTGACACCGTTTCAAATAAAACAAAACAACCAACCCCTAATGGTATTAGCCTCCTTGAAGCATATTTGCCATCTGATCTGAGTCCTGGACCCATATTCAGATCCTTCATTTCCCAGCATCTTGCCAGGCCACTGCTCATGAACCCTTCAAGCCTCAGTCAGGCTGCTATTTCCACAGAAAGACATCTGAGAGCCCTTTGATGAATTCTTATCACATACATCTGCGCATACTGGGCTCTCAGATACTAGAGAGATGGTGCCATGCATACTCCTACGTAAAAACAGAGAAAGAGGAGTTCACCCAGCACAGAGCCAGCCAGACTTCTAAGGGTGCTATCCAAGTAAGGGTTAAAAAGCCAAAGGTGGAAAGTGCCCTGTGGCTGCTGCTGAAGCCCAACATGACAGAGACCTAATGGGTCATCATGAAAAAAAATCTATCCTTCTTATGCCAATGGAGATTGAGAGCCCAATATGGCCAGCTTTGGCAAGCATTAATGTAAGCCTAGGAACTGTAGCCATGAGATTGGATTCTCCAGAAGAGCTGTCAGCCAAAGTCATGCTCGGATCAAGAAAAACGGGCCTTGGCGGTTCGTGTTCCTGGAGTTGTATCCATGCCAGTGGATGTCCACACAATCCAGAAGAGAATTTGACATTGCTGCTGTTACTGTTGCTGTTATAACAATGGTGCACACCACTGCTACTGTTTCTGGGATTATCATTTTATAATTGCTTACTACAGCTAGCACAGTAGAGACCCTGGCAACAAAAGTAGCTACCACAGTTAGTTAATCTT